GGAGGCTTTTGGCTCGATGGGACCTGGCATGGTGGGCTCAATGTACGGCGGAGGCTTTGGCTCAATGGGACCTGGCATGATGGGCTCAATGTACGGCGGGGGTTTCGGATCGATGGGACCTGGCATGATGGGCTCGATGTACTGTTGCAGTGCGGCTGGAGCCCCCAATTATCAAAGAATTGTGCCCCATGATGTCCATCGATCCAAATTTTTGGTTGGCAATGATCTTGTTCGCGCAGACGATATTCAACAATGTAATCAGAACAATAACGAACAGGCTACAAAGATTGAAGAAACACGAAGTCGAAAATCGCCTCAGCCTTCAACAGAAGGAAGGAAGGAAATACCAAAACCACAAGAAACGAAGATGGAGACGCCGGTGAAACCCGAGGTGATGAAGCCGCAAACGGCAAAGATGGAGACGCCGGTGAAACCCGAGGTGATGAAGCCGCAAACGGCAAAGATGGAGACGCCGGTGAAACCCGAGGTGATGAAGCCACAAACGGCAAAGATGGAGGCACCTGTGAAACCCGAGGTGATAAATCCACAAGCAGTAAGAATGGAAGCGCAGGCGTCGAAGCCTGGAGTGGGAGAGGAGCAGAAAGGGTCAAGAAATCCCAATGGGACAGGTCCTTCGAATCCTAATATCCGAGGCCTTGTGGTGATTGTGCCTGACAGCTCCGTCAAGGAATCCGACAAGAAGGCAATTCGAAAAGATCAGTGTGTGGTATCAGCCGGTGGCCGGGACACGCAGGTCGACGAGGTTCAGCTGATGAACCCTAAGACCTACGAGGAGGGTGGTATCACCCACGAGTGCCGCTCGATGTGGCTTCTCGGGCATAACACGTCTTTGTTATTGGCCTGCGGCAGTGGGCAGCACCCGAACTGTGTGAACTTCGCCAAGGGCTTTATAGCAAGTTGCGTGAATAAACTAATCGCCCTCAAGGATCCTTTTAAGATCTACGCCACCATGGTCTCGTTCAAAGACGGCAAAACAATCAAAGATTTGCTTGACGATAAGAAAAAGTCCTATGATGCGCTGCAGGAGGCGAGCTCACCCATCTACGGCCCCGCGATTGGTAATCTTCAAGTTATGGAAATCACTGATGTTGCAGGGTCTGCGAAAGCTATTGATAAGTGCATCTCAACTGGTGCAGATCCCAAGGAGCTTGTCTGTTGTTTTTTTGTTCTGAAACAAATAAAGAAGTCAAACGACAGGACAGTTTGCTATCTTTCTTCACTTAACATCAGCTTTTCTGGGGATTGTGGACAGCACTACCTCGATATCAAAGACAAAAAGGCGAATGTTCCTTTCAATCTTTATCGTTATTCTATTGGTGGTGGCAGTATGTCTGCATGCGTTGCTTGCATTAGCGAAAAAGACGACTCAGTCATGAGGGTGATTGATGCATGCAACAAAATGCGGGAAGTAAAGAACTCGCCACCGCGGAGCGGCAACGTTCTGCGCTTTGTAGAATTCACTCGAGGTGAGGTTGGGAAGTGCAAGGAAAAGCTTGAGAAGGCAGATAACGATTCAACTAAGAAAGCCTGCAAGAACATATTGGATCGTATGGAACTTATGTTGAAAGATTCGGAGGCACTGCTGGCTAACCCCGATAAAGTGAAACCTTTGGCTTACTCATAACTCAGATATTGATGACCTATAAATCTTGAACTAATTTAATTATTATAAGACTAGAAGATGTGTAAGAAGAAATAGTTCTAAAATAATTTGCATAACTAAGGTTAGAAAATTCAGGTTGACATGTATATACGATAAGTCCGATCTCTATTTAGTTATTATAGGCTATGCCTTTTTTATTTATTTCATCATATATCGAGACGTTTTTCTAGTGAAAATTTTTATTGTACAGACTTTTCAACCCATATTCATCGTTTTTCAATAGTGATAATACTTTACATATATTTCTTTTGTTTATATTTATCAAATACCTAAATGCTGTATATATAACTATGAAGTTTTTCACTACGTTTAAATGATTCTTGTTTCTTCGTCAATATATGACAGAGTTTTCTTTTTCCAATATGTGTGACAATGCTAGATTAAGTTCATACACCTATGTACATTTTTGTGTTTTTGCTACGCTCAAACACGACTATTCTTTTGCCGATTTTTCCTGTTGGTACAAATATGAATATATATACATATATAGTAACTTTACATTGTTGCGTGTGTACAATTCAATGCATTGAGGACTCAATCTGCAATTTACCCAAAACAGTTTAGCATTCCCATTCTCTTTTTAGATATCCACTGCTATACTTTCAAATTGCATAAGGAAAAATACTTACATACAAACCCATATATTTGTTTATACATTGGTATGGACATTTATTATTCATTTATTAACGGATTCAACCTTTTATAACTGCTTCGAATAATGTTACGTATTAAGGTAAACTACATGACGAATGTGTTGATTCTGTATATATTTTTTGCTATTCCTTCATTTGAATGAAAAATTCTATTGTAGAAATGTCAAAAGCCTTTTATTTTAAAAACTATCATGTACAAGATAAATCGATCTTATATTTCATCAGTAGAATGGCATATTAAGGATATTTTATTTTTGTTATCATCATATTTTATATATATTTCAAATTTTTACTTTCGTCACTACTGTTGATTATGTTCAGTGTTACCAAATTGTCTTTTAGATATGTTTATTTGTTTATTCTTAAGATTCGCAAGAGAGATCTGAATACTTTACTAGAAAATGAATGTTATTCAGTTGGATGTAATTCAAAAGAAGACAATATGAAATCGATTGAGATAAATCTGAATATTTTCAATATATTAACATAGAAATGAAATAGTTCATCTTCAACAAGTTTTAACAAAATCTTAACCTTCAGTATAGTTCTTTGAGTTCAGAACTTTAGTTCACTTCTTTCGATAGTAAATTACATAGTGGAAACTAACATTTTTTTAATCTTAATTTAATATAATTCTAATTAAATGCAGTGCTCTGAAGTTTTAAGCTGGTGTATTTCTTCCATGTCTTAGTACTCTGTTTTTTCATGCGTTTTCAAAGGATTTTTATGGAATTCATCCTCTTCCGTTTTTTTCATATTTCAAATATAAGAAACAGTTACCCATTCTTGTTTTTCTTGATTTAGTAAAAAACTTGAAACAACCAATATATTTATTCGCCATAATACGGCTCACAAACATTTAATATGCACATCAAGGAGTTCTGTAGATACTTCATTCCGTTACATGGTGATCGTTTTTCTTTTCGGGCGTGTAAGCCTGTACACAGGCCACGAACTGTCTAACATGCGTCAGCTACACACCATCAATTGAGACTGTATCTGCGGGTTGGTGTATCGTATGGGCTTGGAAAAGTGCAAATAAGTATGATGACTGGATGAAAACCACAGGGGGGAGAGGAGGGGAGAGGGTCTGTCAATGAGGTATAGAAACTACCAAATAAAGTATGATAACCGTATATGTTACCTTACTCTTTTCATTCATGTACCAACGTAGGAATTATAACTCCTATAGAGGAGGTAATCGTACTCTCTACGTTTTTACCAATCTTCTGTTTTGTCGCAAGATAGGAGAGCAGTGATGGAAGCCTACGAATCTGCGTTTCTTCTTAATGAGATCTAACTAAAGACTAAAGTATGACTTTTTATACCTTTTTTTCTATATTGAATCATTGTATGGTATTATTACACTGTTATTATCATTGTATCCACAATGGCATTGACAGATTGCCTTCATTATGGGGTATATTAGATAATCATATGGATAGCCAATGTACTCCTTAGTGGAAAGGGGTAGAGGGTAGTTGGGAAGATGTGTCACTGATTATGAGTTTTATTTTTATGATGATACTTCGTCTACAAAGTGTGAAACATAGCTTTTAATTTCTTTGCCAAGATTGCCTTAGAATTATCAATAACTTATTAATCCCATACAATTTGATATTTAAACCTTATTTTTATCTATCAAGTTCTTAATTCTTCCATTCTCCTTCTTTTTTGTGTGTGTTCAATGATTGACCGATGAATAATTCATATTTTTTGAGGAATTTTTCTTGTGTATGAGCATCGCAATAAGGAATCCTATTAAAGAGTGGCCTTCACAGAAGAGTAATCACATCGACACGTTATAGTGAAGTTGAATACAAACCCTGTTATTTTCATTCTTTTGTCTACAGAGTCTGCTTAACATTAAACAAAAACTTGTCTATTACTCCTTTTCAATTCTTTTAACTGACAATAATTTTACCTTTTAAAAACATTCTGCAGTTAATAAAGGGGCTTTACATTGACAGTAAAGTTTCCATTAATAGATTTCGATAATACCATATACCCATTTATATTCTTTGTTATCATTCCAATTTTCATTTGATATGTTATTATTCTCACTTATTCATGGATGCAAGTTATTTACTCATAACAATATATATATATATATATATAATACAATAAAAAATTCATACAACACAATGTTTAGGCGATTCACTTATTATTGAAACCTTATGAATACTTTCATCTTTTTCCAACTTCTGTTACCAAACAGATAAAACCAAAGTTAAAGTATTTTTTCACCTCTAAGAAATTTTTTATATTTTAAAACTCTTTTGATAGTTTCCAAACAAAGATTCAGATTGTACTCTAAAAATAAAAGGAGCAAAAATCAAAATGTTCGGTCAACTTAATAACCCAAGCAAAGGAAAGAATAAAAGACATGGATCTAAGGTCAATGCAACACGCAATAATAATATGGGAGATATCAGATACCAAGGTACCCGCGGCAGTTTTATGGATCATCCCTGGGGTTCCATGAGAAATATGTATGACATGCACAATAACAACGTTTATATGACGGTACCTCCCATACAAAACTATGCTAACTTTCCAGAAATGCTTAATCATAACTTTTTTATGCATGACGTGCCTTGTAACAATGTTTTTAATACCGATACAGCAAAGAAAGTGTATGCCTCCCGTCACGATCAGAACTTAGTTCAGTCATCAACTAACTTTCCTGTTCGTTTCAGTTCATATGGTATGGACTGTTTTACAGATTTCCATGGTGGCTATGGTAGTTCTATGGGCTGTGTCGAGTATATGTTCGATGGCTTTTCAGAGGACATCATTTCCGAAAACCTCAAAGATTCCATCACTCCAAATGAACTCACTCTTTCCAAAAGTGAGATTCAGAATGAATCCAGGATATCTAACGACTCCATTTTTATCGGAAGGGACGATGACACAAGTAAGGAATTTCCATCACCAGATAACAAAGCGATCTCTCTGAGCATCTTGGCCCCCCCTTCCGAGACTCTCCTCGCCGAGGAGAGCGTCCCGGCCCAACCAGTGGTTTGTGTTAAACCGAGCCGTACCTCTTGCCGTCGTAGTTCCCGCCCCTACAGCCGTACCCAGACAATTGACTGTGTGGAATTCCCCAAAGGCGAGGAGATGACGGATGAGTTAACCGTTGGGCACCTCGGGGATCAGGTCAAGCAAGCGTTTGAAATGGTTCGCCAGGTGCAAAGCCGGGAACGGGGGCCGTCAAAAGAACCCACCACGCAGGATGGTTCGTCCACCAAGGGGAACCCACAGGCGACGATAGATTCCTGGGGCTCGCCGAATCGCGATGGGTACTCTGCAAACAGTGAACAGGAAAAACGTGAGATCGCTGAGCTGAACGACTCCAGGCGAGAAAGAGGACCACAGGAGGACGAAGTGAATAACAACCGAGCTCCTTCTGGGTCCGTGGTGACCCCTACCACTGACAGGACGGAGTGGGGTACTAACCACGTGCGCACACTGGTTGTGGTCGAGTCGATGACGAAGGGCAACCAAGCAATCACCTGTAAGGACTCTCAAGTCTCATACAATGGCCAAATGCTCAACGCGACAGAAATACAGAAGCGAAAGGAGGGTAGCCTTGAGTACGGCTCTCAGGCACTCCAGCAGCTTTGCGAAGTCGCCTCAAGGGGCTTTAATGTCGCCCTTCTTTCCTCTGAGGCGCCGAACACGTCCTCTCGCTTTACGTCCCCTGTCTGGAAGGCGCTTACTCTAATCGTGAGGAAGGTGCTTGCTGATCACACGGATGATGAGGGCCATATGGAACCCGACTTCGAGTTCAGCTGCGCTTTGGGCTACATTCTGAATGATAAGTGCAAGGACATCTTCACCGAGGAAGACACACCGTTTGAGAAAACCACCATCAAAACCTCTCCCATCTTTGGGGCCAATTTACAGGAACTACAGTATTTTCGAATCACCGACGCGGCAGCATTTGAGGAGCACCTCTCTTTATGCTTGGCCCGTTCTAACGCCAATTTTATCTTGTCTGGTCTCATGGAAGGCTTTGTGGGTGCCTTCTTGAACATGCGACAGGGCCTTCGGATGAAGAGCGGCGAGAAAGACATCTGCTTATCCTCAATCATTGTCACGTCGGCTGGTAGCGATGTTAAACCGTACACGGATTCTCTAAATCGGGTTCATAACATCTACGGCTCCATTTTTCACCTTGCTGTGCTTGGCCCATGCTTCATGTGCTATATGCTTAACATCGCAGATGACGATACTATAAAGCAGTCAATTGTACCACCAGGCTCGAGTATATCTGCTGAGCTTGAAAAGCTTTTTTCACTTCTCAAGCAAATGTCCGGAACCGAGAACTTGCCACTGCGAAGCGGCTCTGTACGGCGATTTTTGGCGTATGTCAAGCAAAATTCTGAAAAGACCAAGGAGCGCCTTAACACAGAGGACTTAATGGAAGATAAGCGTACCCGACTCAAGAAGTTTCTAGTGGAAACAAATACATTGATGGAGATGTACACTGAAATATTAACAGGTTCAGAAAAAAATTCAAATTAAATGGAGTATACAGATTTTTCATGACATATATATTCTTTTTACAAGCAAAGATCAAAATGACTTATACAACCAGACAGAGGGTACGTGAGTGGTAGCACAGCGAAGCATTCATCTTCCCACATGTTTGCAATCTTATAGAACTATTTTCATGATGTTATAGTTGAAACTTTCCGAATAAGGTATGTGTATTTGAACTCCTGATGAATATTTTTTATGTTGAACTTTTGAATTATGTGTCTTATTGCTCATGGAGTTAGGGGCAGTATAGAAAATATGGATGATTTTTTCCCACTATTTGTTTATTTTATTTCTTTTACTTTGATGCTGATGTTTTTCTATTATAGAATAGTAAGTATATGCATATTCAGATTTGCTATAATTGGAAGTTGCTATTAATCTATCTTTATACAGTAAAGAGTTCTTTTTGTTACTCAATAATCCTATAGAGCATTAGGTTCTCATTCAAATATATTACTTATCTTTGTGTTGTTATGTTTTATTGATTATGGTTAGATAACTAACGTACCAAATAAATATGCTTGTTTCATATTCCTTTTACCATTTGAAAAAGTTTTCCTAATATTGATACAGACAATGCATGAAATATACAGTTAAAACCTGATAATAGAAGTTTATCATCCCAGAAAACGTGCGTACTTAATATCATTTATTTTAGATAGTGGACGTTTTATTCTTTTATTTATGCTTCTGGGCACATATTTTTTTAAAATAAGTAAATAAATAAGTCTATGTATATATTTCATCCATTGTTTTGAAGATAGTAAAAAATATATTAGAAATAAGCAAAATTATGAATACATACTCAAAAATTTCCGTACAATTTTATTATTCTGAAAATAGAGAGGAAATGTTTCATATATATTAAAATAGGTTTACCGGGAAAATAGTGCAAAGTATCAATATTTTAACATTTACCAATGTATATAGTTCTGTCTATATTTCTAGCATAATAACCTTTTATTAAAAGGCCTTAAAACGTTAGACAGCCATATAATAAGTGATTTTTATATAACAAATGATTTTTTTCTATATTAATGGTTCCAGTTTTCTTCTTTTTATACTGGAAATTTTTTTTTACATAATCATAATTCCAATTCTTCGCTCTTTTTATTTTCAATTTTTTTAATTAGATGCTTAATCTACAGTTTCCTTGTGCTACACAAGATTCAAAAGAGAAGGCATTTTTTCATCTCCACTCTTTAAAGAGTGAATGGGTATTTATATAAGACATTCATGACTTCATTTTTTCCTTTCTGGACTAATGCCACCGTTGCTCATGAATCCCAGCAGCATCATCACCCCTGCTGTTCTCCTCAGGCCAGTATTCACATTAATGACATCTTTTGTACCGATAACACGACTGAGGTTTCTGACAAGAAAGATAATAATGCCTGGGAAACGATCATTTTATCTAATTATATGATCGATTTTGAATGGCTTTGCCAAGCAGTCCCGTCATTAGCAACGGTTCAAAGACAACTTATTGTCCTCAGTGGTGAAAAGGAAACTGCAACTTTTCGTGTAGTAGAATCTTTGAATGCGAATGCTGATGGTTCAAGCAAAAATGTCTCCTGCTACAGTCTTATTCCACCATCTCAGAACTGCAAGAATAGTATGCTCTTGGCAGCCGTTGCGGGTGGGATTCCGCGTAAAAAAATAGTGATTCTAGAGCCCTCACTTCCTTACCTATACGGTACACATCACAGTAAATTTGTTTTGGCCATCAATAGCTATGGAATTCGAGTTGTGATATGTACAGCTAACTTTATTCACGACGATTGGGTAAATAAGGCACAGGGTATTTACATACAGGATTTTCCTCGCAAAAACGTTGTCTTCAACCACGAAGGTGGTGGAAACATGAGTCCGAAAGTTCATCAATTACCCTTTGATGACTATCAAATGCGCAAGGGGGAAGACTTCAGGTCATATTTAAAACTTTATTTGGAGCAACTTGGTTTGCTACCACTTTCTAGGATACGTGGATCTGAAGAAATTTTATCATTTTCTCCACAGGATTTGGATGCGTTTGACTTTTATTCGGCTAAGGTATGGCTTTTTGGTTCTGTCCCTGGAAGCCATAAGGGACAACATTTCATGTCCTTTGGAATGAACCGCTTGTTTACTATTCTAGCGAATGTTAAGTTACCTAGTGATGCGGCTCCAACAAACACTACGATCCTGAAAGAGATTCATCCGGTTATTTTGAGTTGGCAATACAGTTCACAAGGTTCACTCAATGAAAAGTTTTTAAAATCCTTACAACGCTGCATGACGGCACCAGACACTTTTGTCGATAACTTACAAGTTCTTTACCCCTCGGAAGATGAGGTTCGGCACTCTTTAGAAGGCTGGCGTGGGGGACTTTCCCTACCTGTCCGTCTCCGTTGTTGTGACCCTTTTATTAATGCCAGGCTTCATCGCTGGGGCGTGTCGAGGGGCACCCTCTCCTCCGCATCAGGGCTGTGGCGCTACGTCCTTCCCCACCTCAAGTCCTACGCAGCGTTGGACCGTGCACGGGGGTGGGTCCTCTGGTTTGCCCTGACTAGTGCTAACCTCTCCCAGGCGGCTTGGGGCCATGGGGCAGGGGCAGTGGGGGCCTCCCCCTCCCCCTCAAACCCCTCCCTTTTCATCCGTTCCTACGAGCTCGGTGTGCTTTATGACGCCCATTCCCACGTGAATCCGCACGAGGGGTGGGTCTC